TTAAATCCTCATGCAATTTCCTAGCCTTTTTACTTATGATCGCTTGAGAGATGCTATCTCCTGCTATCTGTTTTTCATTTATCCACACCAATAACAGTCTCTCAACATCTTCTAACACTTGCGGTCTCTGTTTCGAAAACAAAGTTGCACCTTTTGCAACAACAGCTTCCTTGATTGCCGTTTTCATGGCCACTGTAGTAGCGATGGTTGATTGGGGTTTTGTATACAACCTGGCCAGCTCCGACACACGCACTCCACTTTCGTACTTTGCAATTATCTCTTTCTTCATTTCAATAGTCATTAGCACCCTTTTTCTCGAAGGGTTGGCACTAGAAGCTTTCTTGGGGCCCATGGTGACTTATTTTGCAGAAACAAGCACCAAAAACACTGTGATAATATGGAATGTGCCGAATGTATGCTTAGATGCGAGCACACTGGCTGGCTTGTAAACACTGGCACGCACAGGGCAGTTCAGGCCACACGTGGACACGTCTCGGACGAATCGTGTGTGGCAGGTTTTTTAACGAGTGGCGAGGCAAAATTTTTGCATTAAAATGTATCGAATATCGGATTTATCAGATACCGATGCCATCGAATATCGGGGGTCCACTGTACTATTTGCTGTTCAACTTTTTAATAGTAGCTCGCACTGTATACAGTAGTTTTGTAGGAGAGCCTATTATACTTTATAGCAAACTTTAGATTTTCACAGCATTAACCCTTTCAGGGTCCAGTCCCATGATCTGAAACTTGTTCTCATTGTTCAAAAAGTGCCCCCCTCCCCCCAAAATTATTTTTTCTTATGAAATGGCAGAGAATATCTTTTCTGAAGGTAATGACTTCAAAAGTATGAAATATGATGGAAAAGTTAAGGAATTACTCTGGCGCAAAGTTAGCGGTCTTGGAACAGTTTACACACTAGTGATTTCACCCACTTGGAGTTCTATTTTAGGCCAATTCTTTTATGTTAGTTGACCAAATTCTTAGCTATTTTGTTAGTATTTCTTCTATTCTATTGATTGAACACAAGAAACTGCCCATTCAGCTATTTCAACTACCCAATTAAGTGGTCATACTTTGGTAATTTGGCCAATTTCACACAAAACTCAAAAAATGTCAATTAAAAAATAAGAGTCCATAATAAACAATATAGACAGTCCTGGCAATAAAACAACAACAACAACAACAACAACAACAATAATAATAATAATAATAATAATAATAATAATAATAATATAGTAATAATAATAATAATAATAATAATAATAATAATAATAATAATAATAATAATAATCTTTATCTCTACAAGTACATGTACAAGGTATACAGACCAAGCTGACATCAGTGACATACTACTATATAGAAAGCCCCTTGTTATGTAGAGCATTTTAGACACATTAGGTCAGTTTTGTCCCCAGGATGTGACCCACACCATTTGACTAACACCCAGGTACCCATTTTACTGATTGGTGAACATTGGAGAGCAGGTGTCTTAACCCTTTGAGGGTCCGTGCCGTAGATCTACGGCTATATGTTGAGGGTCCAAACCGTAGATCTACGCCATGAGCTCAGCTCACTCTGATAAGCTGTGAGCGGTAAATTTGGGCCTAGATATGAGAAAATACATCTATGTGGTATGTGTGCACAACATAAAGCAAATCCTGCAACACACAGTGCATAATGAGAGAAAAAAACTGAGACCATAATTTTCAATTAAAACAGCGACTTTGCAGTGTTTTTTCGTATTTTTTTATAGTTGTATTTGCGATTTCTTGGTCTCATTTGATAGAATGGAAGATACATTACAGAAATAGAGATGATTTTGATTGGTTTTAGTAATGGAAATGGGTTGAAACTGAGCTCAAAATAGCAGAAATGTTAATGGACTGCAAGGAGCAATGGTCGGTTGACCACAGGTCGCATACTCGTATGGCATCTGTGATCAATTACTCACTGTAGCAGTAAACAAGACGCTTGCCCCTTCTGAGAGGTCTGGGCCCCTCAGGGCTGAAAGGGGCTGAAGGGGCTGAAGGGGGCTGATACCCCCCTCCTGGAGAAAATTTCTCCAATTTTTGCCGATGTTCAAGAGTAAACAAATGATCCCACATGTCTAATACACGCCAGCTTGTGGGTCTAATACATGTTCACAAATGTGGTGATATTATTTATACAATTATTACAGTATTGCATAACAGTAAATCTTCTATTTTTTTGGTTTGAATAAAAAATCATTATGTGATTAAAAAATAAAAATGGAATTCATGTAACTAATGAACAGAGGAAATGTTAGTTTAGTTCTAGGAATACCTGCATTGTTTATTCTGGACCCTATTTTGAAATTAGAATATTTTGAACTTTGCATTAAATTGGCCAGATTACCAATTTCCGATCACTTTATTTTGTAATTGAAACAGTTGACTTGGTGATTTCTTGTGCTCAATCGATAGAATAGAAGTAATACTAGTGAAATAGCTAAGAATTTGGTCGACTGTAGTAATATAATTGGCCTAAAATGGGAGTCAAAGTCGGCAAAATTGCTGATGCATAAATATCGCTGACACATCAAAATTCGCGAGAGCACAATTTCGTAAATTTTCCATCAAATTTCGTACTTTTTGTTTTATTACCTTCAGAAAAAGATTCTCTACCATTTCATAAGAGAAAATAACAAAATTATTTTTCGAAAATTCTTGGACACTGGTGCGCACTTTGAAATTTACTGTCTCTTGGAAAGTTTGTTCATGGTTTACAGCATCCCAGTAATTGAATCAGACCTAATAAAACCCATAAAATTGGCTGGGGGGGGGAGTTGTAGTGGTGCTTTATCTATTCTCTGCAATTTTGAATAATTTCAAATATTTCTGTTACTTTGAGCTCAGTTTCAAGCTACTTTCAGTCCTGAATCCAATCATAATCATCTGTATTTTAGTAATACATGTATATGTGCCTTCCATTCTATAAATTGATAACAAGAAACAGAGAATAAAAACTTTTGACAATACACCGCAAAGTCTCTATTTTAAATCATAAAGATGGTCATAGTTTTGTTTTCTCCATCAGGCACTGTATGGGGTGGAAATTTTTATATTGTGCACTCGCCACACAGACCCATTCTCTCATATCTAGGCCAGAATTTACTGCTCGGAGTTTATCTAAATGAGCTGAGCTCATCACGTAGTACAGTACATGATGGACCCTGAGCTCAAAGCTGTGATACTACAGCATGGAGCTGCAAGGGTTAAGTTATGTGCAAAAATATAGGTACATAAAGTACTACACACTATAGAATTTTTCTCTTTTCTATTCAGTTCGCTACTGTGAGGCTACTGCTTCATGCTCATGACTCCTCCCCTTCCACCTACACCTGGATTTGGGAGCATCTTATTCCTCACACATTCCCTGTTTATGAAGCCATTTTGCATGTTTTCATCATATCTCATCTGCATATTAACCATGGCTGGCATCCAAGAGTAATAATACTGATTCCAAAAGTAAAGTGAGAATTTATGATGTTGAAAAAAGCAAAGGTACAGTAAATGTCCTATAAAATGGATTAATGGAAGGGAGGGGGATGTTATCTTTAGTGAAAAACTTGTCATACTGGAAGTTTAGATTAAGTGGATGTAATCCACTTAATCAAGTGGATTAAGTGGATGTAATCCACTTAATCGATTGGCTACTGGACATAGACAAATGCCCAATAAAACAGACTTAGCCAGTTGTATTGATGACACAACCAGATATACAAAAAAAAAGGGCTAATGCAAGCATGCTTTGATATCTATCTATATTTCTCTCTTGCTCTCTCACCCGCTCACTCAGGAGCTCAACCTTTGCAACCATATATAGGTGAGTACACACACATTCACACTCAGGCTGCAAACCTGGTCCAACAAATAGCTCCTGGAGTTTAATCCCACCAAGTGCAAAGTTTTGAAGCTTGGAGAAGGACAGAGAAGACCACAGATGGAGTACAGGCTCGGGGATCAAAGGCTGCACAGCTCGCTCAAGGAGAAGAATCTTGGGATGAGCATCATACTGAACACATCCCCCTGAGGTGCATATCAACCATATGACTGTTGCAGCATATGTGCATCTGGCAAATCCAAGAATAGCATTTCAACATCTTAAGTAAGGAGTCATTCATGACTACACCATGTATGTCAAGCCCATATTGGAGTACACAGCACCAGTATGGAACCCACACCTGGTCAGACATGTCAAGAAATTGGAGAAAGTTCAGAGGTTTGCAACAAGATTAGTCCTGGAGCTAAGGGACATGTCCTATGAGGAGAGGTTAAGGGAGGAATAGGGGAGACACGAGAATGATGTTTAAAATGCTGAGAGGAATTGACAAAGTGAACTGGGGCAGAATGTTTCAGAGACAAGATACAGGAACAATAGGACACAACTGGAAGTTGAAAACTCAGAAGAGTCATAGGGAATTATCAGGAAGTGGAACAATCTGGAGAGTGAAGTAGTAGAGGCAGGATCCATATATAGTTTTAGAAATATGTATGATAAGGTTCTTGGAGCTGGGAGAAAGTGGATCTAGTAGTGTCCCCTAGCAAACACATATAGGTGAGTACACACACACACAGCAACAAACTGTGTTTACAATGAGAAGTGTTGACTTGCTTAAGGGGAAGGAAGGGTTGCCACAGATTGAGTTTTTTTTTTTTAAATGTTCATAATGAGGGTTGGACAGGTTTCACCTAATAATCTGAGTATAATTTAGGCCTCTGTAAAATGGTACTTTGTACATTATTCTTACATTATCTCATGGGTGTAGACATTGTGATGCAAATGGTCATTTGGATTATGATATCTGTTTATTTCTGATAATACAGCTATTGGATGAATAATGGTGAATGATTCATTTTTTCATCATTCTGTTATGGTAGAAAACAATGTTTGTGGTAAATTTGTTCTAATATTTAATTCTGATTTGATTTTCATCTTAAAATGAATGTTTTAATATTTTTGCTACTTACATTCAGATGGATATGTTTAAGAAGGCAGCAGATGCAGCAGCCACAGTGTTGGCAGTGCAGCCAGAGCATGAAGTAATGAAGAGTAACCTGAAATATTACCTCGCTGAAGGTCCTGTCAATGCTGAGGAAGTTGTTAATTTGGAGCTTCAGGTTAGTATTTTCAGTTTTTTGTGCAGTTAATAAAAGTATTAGTCAGAGGGCTGAAGAGGGGTTGTTGAGGTGGTTTGGTCATTTAGAGAGAATGGATCAAAGTAGAATGACATGGAGAGCATTTAAATCTGTAGGAGAAGGAAGGTGGGGTAGGGGTCGTCCTCGAAAAGGTTGGAAGGAAGGGGTAAGGGAGGTTTTGTGGGCGAGAGGCTTGGACTTCCAGCAAGCGTGCATGAGCATGTTTGATAGGAGTGAATGGAGACGAATGGTATTTGGGACCTGACGATCTGTTAGAGTGTGAGCAAGGTAATACTTAGTGAAGGGATTCAGGGAAACCAGTTATTTTTATATAGCCGGACTTGAGTCTTAAAAATAGGAAGTACAATGCCTGCACTCTAAAGGAGGGGTTTCGGGATATTAGCAGCTTGGAGGGATATGTTGTGTATCTTTGTATATATATGCTGCTAAACTGTTGTGTTCTGAGCACCTCTGCAAAAACAGTGATTGTGTGTGAGTGAGGTGAAAGTGTTGAATGATGATGATATCATGTGGGAGTTCGATACGTGGATTAGGGTAGAAATACTCACGTAGGCTGTTATACGTATAATTACTGTTATGTGGAGAATGCCCGCCAGCCGTTACCTATCTCCTTGCTACTACTCGATATACTGGCTAGGCGGCTGGCCAGTACCCCGCAGTGGGTCTTTTAAATAGTGTCCGCTCAGCACAATATGAAAGACCGTGACTCAAGACAGTTGGTCGTGAGTCAACGGACACTGGTTACTGGTAACTGGTTACTACGTTACTACTACTGAGATGCTGTGGACTGATACGACAAAAATTTTGCTGGCAAAAATAATGGTACACAGTCTGCGAAAAAATTAGAGAAATGAGACACTGTTGGCATACGAAAAAAATGACACACATAGAAATAAATGGAAAATTTGGTATACTGGGGTAAATATCACTGCAGAATACAACGCTGAAAGAATACAATAAAAAAAAATTGAATCACTTCACACAGAGTGACTGACTGGTACACTACACAATAATACTTACTACAGACGAGTAGCATAAGAAAAACACAGCAGAATAATATAAGTGAAAACACTGAAAAAATATTCTAAAAATACTGAGTCAAAGAAAATACTGCGTTTACACTGAAAACACAAGGTTTAGAGTACACAAGCAATTTTACTATAAATGTCTCACACACGCAAATGTCTTTAAATGCAAGAAAATGTCTCAAAAAAATTATCACTGAAGTGGAGAGTAGTAGACGGGCGGTGACGGGGTGACGAGGTGAAGATATTGTCCTGTGGGCGGGCGGTGTTTCCTCCTACACCCACACACTGTTGTCGTGAAGAAATGTGCGTTCTAGGCGAACTCACATAACTGGCTTTATCTCGTTGGCACCAGCTACAATCTCTTGACCAATTATGTGAGCCAAAACAGTACTAGGACCCGGTACAAGGGTGCAAACAACCACAGGTAGGTTGGTAGTGGTGGTGGTGGTGGTGGATGCTTCTGCCGCGCACCCCGGGTGGTGGGAGAGAGTGGTAAGGGGGGGGACGGTGAGGCTGCCGCGCGCCCCACTCACCCACAGATGGTTTAACCCACTCTATGCCACAGGAATGGTGAAAACCACTCTTAGCATCCAACAGGAAGCACAAAGCGAGATACACAATACTTCAGAGGAGCTTGGCTTACTGCTTACTGCGTGGCTTACTTCTCTCTCTCAGCTGGGTTAGAAGCTGGGTTGGCTGACTGGCTTACCCCACGAGAATGGATGACTGGAAGACGTGTAACGATGCACAAAGCACGGAGGAGCAGTTGGATGACAGGAGACAGGCTGGATGATAGGCTGACTGGCGTTCACTTCCACAGTCTGGCTTACTGACTGGCTTAATTGCAAAATCCGGGTCAACCCCTCGGAGATTGAAGCAATTAGCACACGAACTAAGCCAGGAAGCTTGAAACGGCTGCAACAGGCTTGCAGGATGAAAGCTGTGAGGGGAGTCAGCTGCTGGCTGGTGGTGCGCGAGGGTAGAGCTGGTGGTTGGAGAATCACCTTTGACCCTGGCGCTACTCACACAAACAGCCTTCAAACGCCTTGAATTACCCTTAAAAACGTAAATCCACGCTCCACACCGCTGCACACCATTTATCATGTGGGAGTTCGATACGTGGATTAGGGTAGAAATACTCACGTAGGCTGTTATACGTATAATTACTGTTATGTGGAGAATGCCCGCCAGCCGTTACCTATCTCCTTGCTACTACTCGATATACTGGCTAGGCGGCTGGCCAGTACCCCGCAGTGGGTCTTTTAAATAGTGTCCGCTCAGCACAATATGAAAGACCGTGACTCAAGACAGTTGGTCGTGAGTCAACGGACACTGGTTACTGGTAACTGGTTACTACGTTACTACTACTGAGAATGAAAGTATTTTCTTTTTGGGGATTTTCTTTCTTTTTGGGTCACCCTGCCTCGGTGGGAGACGGCCGACTTGTTAAAAAAAAAAAAAAAAAGTTTCTCTCTTTCATTTAATGTTTTCTTCATTTTGTCCAATATTATAGAGACATGAGCAGGAGTGATTCAGTTTAAAAAAAGAGATACATTAGTTGAAAATATGAACTGTGTGACTGACAGCAGGCAAGAAGATTCACTAATGAATTATTAAAGAAATGAATTATAATATACTGTATAGGTTTGTGGTAAATAAATATGTCATCAAAACAACAAGAAAATTGGGACCTTGATTTTTCTGTTAAATTTGAGTAATTTCATAATTTGATGACAGAATTCTATAGTTGGGGTAACTCCATTACATAGCTTCTTGAACAGCATTTACCTAACCAAGAAAGAACTCAAAATAATGGATTAAAGTTTGATAAATTTAGATAAAAAAAAAAAAAAAAAAGGAAAATACTGGTTTGACATACGAGCTTTCAATGAATGGAACAAACTGTCAAGTGGCATCATTGAAGTTAACAGGTTGAGCTGGTTTTAAAATGGTTTGAAGAAGCATGTGAGCAAGATGGGTTGGGTTTGAGGAGGACCTGCCTAGCATGGGACAAAGCCTACTGCAGCATTCCTGGGTTTTTATGCTCTTAACATTCCAATCTGTTAAAAATATAAGAATAGGGAGCACTGCAATACTTGACAGACTCTCAAATTCAATCCTTCTCGCTTGTAAATTTGTCTAACTCATGTTTAAGACTACCTAAATTGCAAATTGTTCCAATCATGTACAATTCAGTTGTTAAATCAACTCTTTATTTTATTCATTTTTAATTTATTCAACTTGAAACCATTGTTTCAAGTTATTTGCTGGATAGATGCCCTTGGCATCTTATTTTTGTTCAAGTTTAAAGTACACTATTACTTTTCTGCAAAATGTGAACTTTTCGCACGTAGAGAGGATGGAAAGGGATAGGATGATGAAAAAGGTGTATAAATCTGGGGTGGAAGGTAGAAGGGGTAGGGGATTATCCCTGGAGTGGTTGGAGGAAGGGAGTAAAAGAGGCTTTGAGTTTTAGGGGTTTGAGCATCCAACAGGCTTGTGTGAGTATGTTAGATAGGAGTGAAGCAAGACATGTGGCTTTTAATGGATGTGTTGTTAGAATGTGAGTAGTGGCATAGCCTGGGATTTTTGGTATCAAGGCAAGTTATCCCAACATCGCCCCATCTTAACTGTCAACATTGGTTCTATTGGACATCATCTACTCACTTGAATATCACCAATGTTCAATCAGTTAGATGTGATAAATGGTTTTCAAAACCGACAAGTGGAAGGTTGAGACACTTATGCAACATATGGGAATCTTTATTAGGGAAATGTTTTGCAACACAGTGGTCCAATACAAAGCAGAGAGGGGTAAGGAGAGGAGGAGTTTGAGGTAATCATTCCCTCAGCCTGGAATCGATATGTTCAGTCCATCACTCTTGTAGAAAGTACAGCATATGGCCGGAAAAGTGGCTTATATACTGTAGTCAAGTGAGTCGAAGCAGGAGGTGGTGGAATCACAGTGGATCCATCCACTAGTGTAAGTAGGTTTTCGTCGTAAGGTTGCACAAGTATTGAAGAATTCCTTGTATCAAGTTCCCATGATGTTATATGTTCCTAAATATTGATTATAAACTAGAGAACACACTATATATGTATCAATTGCAACTTTTAATTATGTAACTTATAATTACATTAATTTATTGGTTTTGTAAATTTATTTGTGTACATGTATAATAATTTTTGTTGCAAAAAGGTCACAATATGTTACACATTAATTACAAATAAAGTGTTATTTTATAGTGATGTTGATATATCACTGATGATTCTAGGTAGTAGGTTGGTAGACAGCAACTGCCCAGGGAGGTACTACCGTCCTGCCAAGTGAGTGTAAAATGGAAACCTGTAATTGTTTTACATGAAGGTAGGATTGCTGGTGTCTTTTTATTCTGTCTCATACACATGCAAGATTTCAGGTACATCTTGCTACTTCTACTTATACTTAGGTCACACTACACATACATGTACACATATATATACACACACCCCTCTGAGTTTTCTTCTATTTTCTTTCTAGTTCTTGTTCTTGTTTATTTCCTCTTACCTCCATGGGGAAGTGGAACAGAATTCATCCTCCGTAAGCCATGCGTGTTATAAGAGGCGACTAAAATGCCGGGAGCAAGGGGCTAGTAACCTCTTCTCCTGTATATATTACTAAATGTAAAAGGAGAAACTTTCGTTTTTCCTTTCGGGCCACCCCGCCTCGGTGGGATACAGCTGGTGTGTTGAAAGAAGAAGAAAGAAGAATATCACTGATGATAAAATATAATCATATTGTAAAAAAATTAAATTTTAACAAATTTTTTTAGATTTTTCTGTCTTGACAACTATTAACCCTTAAACTGTCCAAACGTAGATCTATGTTTTTTCAACATTTGAAAGTATGTAAAAAAAGTAGATCTTTTCTTTTTTTACATTTGAAAAAGTGTA